TTTTTTTTTTTTTTTTTTTTTTTTTTTTTGGTTTGCGTTCGGCCGGCCGAACGCCTTCGGAAGGGGTCCCGTACGTTCGGGCGTTCAGGTTCGTGCGTTTTGCCCGTCCCAAATATATATATATATATCAGGCAGTGAGGGGAAAGCCAGACAGATCATGTGCAGAGTAGAACGCTCGTTCCACCCTCAGAAGTAGACTTTGAAAAGCGGACAGACGACCGGAAATGGCACCTTGCATTTTTCAGGGTGCCGATTGCAGGTGAAGGGGTCCTTCAAATTAAAAAAAAAAGCCAAAAAAAAAAAAAAGGTGAAGAGGTCCTTCCCGTCTTCGGCAAGTTTTGCAGAAGGGGAAAAAAAGAAAAAAAAATAGTATTTCTTTTTTTTTGGTCCGCGTTCGGCCCGAACGGCCGAACGCCTTCCGAAGGGGTCCCGTACGTTCGGGCGTTCGGGTTCGGGCGTTCGGCCCGTCCCGAACGCCAGCAACACTGTATATATATATATATCGGGCAGTCAGGGGAAAGCCAGACAGATCATGTGCAGATTAGAACGCTCGTTCCACCCTCAGAAGTAGACTTTGAAAAGCGGACAGACGACCGGAAATGGCACCTTGGATTTTTCGGGGTGCCGATTGCAGGTGAAGGGGTCCTTCTTTAAATTAAAAAAAAATCCGAAAAAAAAAAAAAGGTGAAGAGGTCCTTCCCGTCTTCGGCAAGTTTTGCAGAAGGGGAAAAGAAGGAAAAGAAAGACCAGTAGGAGTACGAGGAGGAGGAGGAGGAGGAGAAGGAGGAGGACAAGGGGTAGAGGAGTGAGGAGGAGGAGGAGGAGGAGGAGGAGGAGAAGGGGGAGAGGAGGGAGGAGGAGGAGGAAAAACCTATATATACAGCCAAAGACGCAGGGAAAAGAAAAGTAAGAAGATAGTGGGCAAAGGGATATCAGGGGTTGGGCGTCCTGCGGGAGAGGGGGCGAAGAGGGGAGCTGACAAGAGGAAGGGGGTAGGAAGAGAGGGAGGACACATTCGAAGATTGAGGCAGTAGTAAGTAACCAGGCGCCGCATGCACCTAGACCTTTCCAGGATGTATCTGACTGCCATTGCAGCCAAATTCACTTGCGAAAGTAATAGTGGGAGGTTGCTCTACAATGGTCAGACCAAGAGCATGCAGCCTTACCTTCAGTTGACCCTCGCCACAGCTCAACGGAGAAGAGAACTCTGCTAAATACCTGAAAATTTCCCAAGTTCCCATCACAAATCATCACAACCAATACATAGAGTTTCAGAGTATGCAAAAGAGACCAAAAAAAAAAGAAAAAGAAAAAAAAAACACGACAATTTCTTCTTCCTCTTCTTCTTCTTCTTCCCCCGCCCTCCTCAAATGGGCCCAGTGCCCAAGACAGCATTAAACATTCTACTGGGAACCGGACCCAGCATCCCTTACAGAAAAGGGGGGCCCAGGCCGGGCCCATCGGAATGGTCAAGGCACTTCGGACAAGTTAAGTTCATTCTGGAGCCGCACAACAAGATGTCAAAACCTTTTTCATTCTTGGACCATTTCTCGATTGATGCGAGTCATCCTTGAGTGCGCAGGGGCCATGCTAATCTTCTTGATTTATGTGTGTCATCCTTGAGTGCGCAGGGGCCATGCTAATCTTCATTCTCTGCATCGTTCCAATCCTTTTAACGGATGTCCCGAAGTACACAAGATGACAAAACCTACGAAGAAATTCCCAACAAAAAAAATCCCAGCAAAGTCCCAACAGTTGCATATCCGCTATACGGTGTAGGGCCCCACCCTGTTCTCTGTCGTGCACATCTTAGCCATATATCGTGTCTCAAGGGCCGGGACATGATTCAGGAACCAAAGGTCCCGACAATGGTCACTGAACCCCCTTCAGAACCGCACTGCCTCCCGCGCAGCAGGGGTCTGTATCCACAGCCCCACCACTTGCTGACAAAGGGCCCGCAAAGCGCCCCCCCCTCCTCACGATTCAGGGCAGATGGCACCTCTCCCCGCACTCACCATTTCCAAGAACACCAACTCCCACCACGATGCTGTTTTCGCGAACCAGCACGAGCCCAAAGGCCCCGCAAAACCCTCCCGCCTCCTCGCAATTTAGGGTAAATAAACTACTCCCCCTATATCTGCATCCGCTCCCCAACGGGAACTTCACCGCCCTCCACGATGGAGTCCCCCTGCGGAGTGGCGCTCACCAATCCATCTTGAAAAGAATCGGATGATGGCGGAAACCAAAGGCGCTTATGGAGACGTGAATACCAGACAAACATGGACTATTTTCACTCAAAATCTTCACGGGCCGGCGGAAACACCCTACCACCCGCACGACGGGGTTGAAGACCCCGCGAACCCACACACCCACCTCCTCGCGATAAAAAAAAAGGCCCTCCTCGCAATTTAGGGAAAGCCAACCACTCCACCAATCTGCATCCACTCCCAAGAGAACCCCACTTTCCAGGATGATGTAGGACAGTCTCTGCAGAGCGACACTCACTCATCAGTCTTGCAGCTCTGGTACAATAGAACAACTACCGTCTTCACCCGAATAGAACGCCTGGTCATTATAGCTGTATTGGGCACAACTTTCGGTCCAGATGCAGCGATAATGACCGGGCGTTCTATTCGGGTAAAGACGGTGGTGGGTACTACGAAAAAAAAAAAAAAAAAAAAAAAAAAAAAAAAGAGGATTACAGTTCGAACAGCAGCAAAACCACAAACAAATGGCTAAACGAGGTTCTCCTAGAATGACAGCTGAGCTAATCAAAGCGAAGACAACATGTCAAGTAAAAATCGTTCCAAAAAAAAAAAAAAAAAAAAAAAAAAAAAAAAGACCAACAACAATCGCAATCAGCGGGGCTAGCAAAACAAACGGATCTCACTAACAAAAACCGCAACACGTTCCAAACATACTTGCGGAGAATATGTGCGGTGCGCTGCAAGTGTATGGCTCCACACAAAGCGACTGACCGCAGTCCGACGCCCAAGTCCTATGTGGTCACAACCAGATAAAAACACGGCACTAAACCAAAACCTAGCCACAAAAAAGACGACGCAGCTGACGAGCTACAGGACGCTCGTCTAAGACGACGACGCTGACGAGCTACAGACGTTCCGAAGCCTTCCACCCTCGGACCGAAAAGACAAAACAGGATGGCAAGGATGGCAAATGCAGTTACCAACCTCACCCCAAGGAAACTCGGTCTTCACAGTAGTCATTGCGAAGATATGCAGCCTGTCGACAGTCAAAGGCACTTGCAGCGAAGCCATCATGTAGAATGCTTTCCTGCCCCCCTCGCCAATCTAGTGAGTGAGCGATAAGGCAAAGAAGAGGAAGAAAGGAAGCTTCGCTGCATGTCCCTAGCGCCCGATCTCCGCAACAGTCATCACGGTAGATGCGCACCCTGTCAAGAGTCAAAAACTCCGGCAGTACCACTATGTCAAAAGCTCCTTGTGTCGCCAATCTATTTGTCGAAAGCTCCTCGCATCGCCAATCTATATGCCAAAAGCTCCTCGCATCGCCAATCTATATGTCGAAAGCTCCTCGCGTTGCCAATCTATATGTCAAAAGCTCCTCGCATCGCCAATCTATATGTCGAAAGCTCCCCCCCTCGCCGGTAAGGCGGAGAAGAAGCGAAGAAACATAACAGCTACCCACCTCGCCAATCGCGGGAGAGAATCGTCGAACGCTCTGGCAGCAAACCTCGAAGTAAACCATGCCAACCAACCGATTGAGCACGCAGTCAGACGCTCTCGCAGTAAAACCACTATGTGGAAAGCGCCACGCCTCCTCGCCAATCTATATGTCGAAAGCTCCCCGCCTCGCCAATCTATGCGGTTCGGAGGAGAGAAAAAACAAAGCATTTCGAATTTTGTGACATCCAGCGTCATCAAAGTGACCTCACATTATTCATGCAGTGCTTACTTCTTATCTTATCTTTCATTCTTATCTTATCCTACTCTTTATGGTAATGCCTGCTGTCAAAAGCTCCCCGTCTTGCCAATCTATACGTGGAAAGCTCCCCGCCTCACCAATCTAGTGAGCAATAAGATGGAGAAGTGAAGAAACATCGCAGCTCCCCACTTCGCCAATCAAGTGAGCGAATCGTCGAACGCTAAACCAAGTAAACCTCGAAGCCTGCCAGAAGAGAACAACTACATTACTACACTACACGGAATCGTTCCAACCGGTCAGGCACAGCGAGTGTGATTGCATCACCATCTTCAGAACCTGCTTGCAGCATCACTAGCACTGCAGGGGGCCGTATAAAAAAAAAAAAAAAAAAAAAAAAAAAGAACAAACTGCGAAACAGATCATCACGCGGATAAAAGAGTATTGCAGCCCCGTGGTCGAAAGGGCAACATCGTCAAACACAGCTCTTCTTCCACCAAGTGGTCAAACGCAGCCCCGTGGTCGAAAGGCAACACCGCCAAAGCACTTCTTCCGCTAAGCGGTCAAATGAAGCACTGCAGGTATCGCCACATCTACCAACTGGAACAAGGCCCAACGTCGATGAAGCGAGGTCAACCTAAATCCGTCAGTGAACAGCAAAGCGAACCAAAATACCATAGAGAGCAGTCGTACGAGGTCCCCGCCGGGCGAACGCCAAGCAACCAGAGCAAGCTGGCGACGAACTCGTCGAGGCCAAGGCCGTGGAAGGACCGAGTCGCAGCAGCGCCGCCCACTCAATCAGCCCCAGCCAACCAACAATCACTTCGAAGCAGAAGCAAGCGACATCTGAAAAAGAAGAGCGAAAGGAAGAACAAGAAGGCAAGACGAACAGGATAGTAGAAGACGAGGCCTCCGGCCTCGCCGCCTACCGGCATGTGCACCAGCAGCATTCAGAACCGATCCGTATCTAAGGGCCAGGGGGCTATAGCTACCCTCCCGACCGGATACGAATACGGTGTGCTGCCAGCGGGTAGCCGGACCCCGCCCGTTGGTCTGCCCCACGTGGCACTCTCTCCCCCTCCAAGACCAACCAAGAATACCAGCGTAGCTGGCCAGGGTCAGCCATGACCAAGAGCCTTTCTGCCCCCCGCCCCCCCCTCCTGAAACTTCGCTTCGCCCAGGTGCCCAAGTGCCGCCATCAACCCTGCGTTGTTTCGGACATGCAGTCAGAGAGGTCTGGCGTCGAGAGTCAATGCAACCCTAACGCCGCTCCACTCGCCATCACCCGCCGCCCGCTGCCGCCCGCTACCCGCCCAAATTGATTCAGCCGCCCGTAGCATTGCCTCTAAAAAGAAAGAAAGTTTTGGAGTATGTTCGCCACCAGATAACCATTCCAATTTAGGTAATCCAGATGATGATTATCCCGATATTTATTATTGGAAGCCGGATTTGACACTGCAGACACCTGAGAGCCCGAAAATACTGGATAATCTTAATAATCCAGACAATTATCCAGATTACCCAGATTATCTCATATTATCTCAGATTATCCACACTGATTATCTAGATCATAAGATTATATCCAGATTGTCCACATCCATAATTCAGATTATCCAGATTATCAACATTGATTATCCAAATTATTCAGATTATCTGAGATTATTTCCAATAAAATCCAGATTATCCAGATTATCCAAGATTATCAAGATTATCTCAGATTTATCTCGGATGAGCTCTGATAATCCAGATTCTCCAGATTGATAATCTACATTGATTATCCAGATTATCTCAGATTAATTCCGATAATCCAGATTATCCACATTCTCCATACGGACTCTCAGATTATCTTATTAGATTTTCCAGATTGTCTCAGATTAACTAAGATGATCCAGAATTATCCTGATCCAGAATATCCAGGTGATAGAGATGATTATCCGATTCCTTCACATCTGAATTCTCATTCTGCTTCTGAATACAGAGTATCTGGATTCGCTGACACATCCCAAAAAAACAATAACAAAAGACACCCAAAAAAAAATAATTGGTAGATAACTTATTTACCCAGAAATCACATCCCTGCAGATGGAGCAGCTATGGACCCATGGATGCTAGGAAATTATATTTTTAAAAAAATAATTTTTCATATTTTCAACTTTTGATGCACTTAAATTTTGTTTTTATCTTTTCATTTTCACATTTTCTGCCTTTTGCCTCCTTTGACTCATCTCCAATCTTTTCATTTTCACATTTTCTGCCTTTTGCCTCCTTTGACTCATCTCCAATTTTGGAACCGGTTCCAAATTTTCCCTCCCTAAATT